CATTAAAAAATAGGCCCCCTCAGCAGGGTGGGACAGCACTGCACACCGATTACCCTTCTTTTGCTCTAAATCATGTAAAATTATCTCTAAGATAGTTGCCCTATGTTTGCCTGCCCTCCACAAACACTACAAAATAATAATCTGATAAAATAGGAGTGTGCTGGGGCCGTAAATGTGTTTTCTTAGATCCAGCAGCACTGTGACTGCTAGGCCTTGGTAGTTAACATAGTTAATTAACTGTAACATAGTTCCTAACTGTAATACGTCGCCATTAATGCATCTGTCAAAAGTTTCAGGGCCATCAGGTTTGAGAGGCCAGTCCTAGGATTTAGACCCGAACTGTAATAAAAAGAAAAACGAGTTGTGTGTGTGTGTGTATATATATATATATTTTTTTTTTTTTAATAGTTTGGGTTGGAAAGGACCTCTAAAGGTCATCTAGTCTAACCCCCCTGCCATAGGCAGGGACATCTTCAACTAGATCAGGTTGCTCAGAGCCCCGTCGAACCTGCCCTTGAACTGAGTCTTGAATGAGGCTCCATCTCTGTCAGGCTCTGTCTTGTTCAACTCTGTCAGAGTGTCTGTCAATGTGCGTAGGAACATCCCTTAGACAGGCCTATGGGGTTATGTGACAAGGCACTGGCAGTGCGGGGCTGCAGGGCAGCCTCTGTGAGAGGCTGGAGCTGCCTCGTGCTGGACACCGCTGGTTCCAGCCAGCTCCAACAGACCCACTCCAGGACGTGGCTGAGCCCCTCAGGCAAAATGGTGGCACCTCAGAGAAAACATACTTAAGAAAGGGCAAAACACACGGGGCAGAGAGAGGAGGAGGAGAAAAAAAAAAAAGAGTGAGAAACAGCAGAGAGAACAGCAAGGTCAAAGAAGGAGGAGGAAGAGGCGGTCCATGACACACCAGCAGATATTCACACTGCGGTCTGTGCAGGGACCCACTGCTGTAACAGGAGAAAACTGTGAGGAGGAAGGAGCAGCACAGAGGAGCTGTTATGAACTGACCATAAACCTCCCATTCCGCATCCCCCTGCGCTGCTGGTGGGGAGGAGTCAGGAGTGAAGGAATGAATTTAAGCTTGGGAAATGGGGCAGGAAACGTGCTATTTTAATGTTTGTCTTTTTTGTTTCTCACTATACAAATCTACTTTAATTGGTAATAAATTGGTTTTCTCCAAGTCAAGTCTGTTTTGCTTGTGACAGTGACGGGTAAGCAATCTCCCTGTCTTTGTCTCAACCCACGAGCTTTCTTATCCTCCCACTGAGGAAGAACAGTGAGTGAGCAGCTGGTTGGGTGTTTGGCTCTTTGCCAAGGCTAACTCACCACAATATGCGTACAACAAAGAATATAAAATGAAATAAAATGCTGTGTCATATGAAAGAAAAAATAAATTATAAGTTACCATGTCTTTAAGCTTTACTAGGGGGTTTGTTCACACCAGCATTCTTTAATGAGAAACAACCTGTATCCACAAGATTGCACACTGGTCATCATGACACTAATTTAATGTGCTCAGTGTTCAGTTTATCCTGTTTATGAGGGCCATTATACGTATGAGTTTTAATTGACTGAAGCAATATGATAATGACAAAAAAAGTATTTTCCACATTTGCAGGAAATGAGGAATATGCTTTCTGAAATAAAATTCTTGTTAGCTGAAGTTAGCACAACAGATTTGAAAGCAACAAAGCCATAATCCACAACATTATTCTAGTTATTCTCTCAGCTTTTATTTGAAATATCAATACTTTCCATTATATAGTTTATACATTAAGCAGTAGGGAATTGTCTTTATTTCACATCATCCAGTACTGAAGTGGCACATTTGAAGCAGCACATTAAACCTCTGAAACAGTCTGTACAATTTAGATAAATAGAACTCTGGATAACTAAACTAACAGAACTTCTGCAACTGTTACCAAAAGAATGCCAAGAAGCGAGGCACAGCACTGTTCACACAAAGTGCAGGAAAGAGGAACACAAGAGAACGAACTAAACATATGGGAAATGTTTTTGCATATACAGCCACATGTCTTTAATTGCTTAACACAAAAAGATAACAAGTTTTATTTAGTCCTCATTGAGGGCAGAATATGCACAAATGATGTTCGAAGAACACATGGTAGAAGCAAATGAAGTGAGGGTCGTGTTTGGTTGGTTATTGTATTCCTCAGTGAATGAATTTACAAAGGATATCTGGTGCTTAAGCAGCATGATTTTGTGCCAAGACTTGACAAGAAACAGTTAACAAATGCCAGTTGTATTCCCCATCTTGCCCTCTTACTGGCATTTTGGTGAGCATGCTCAAAGTTCCTGAAGGGCAAATTCAGGTGCTTTGTGGTCCAAGGTTTTTACTATAGGAATCCCCATTTTATGGTTTACAGTTTACCTCTGGATGGAAATAGGCCTTCTAACAATAACTAAGAACATAAAAATGAGCAGAGAGCAGCTGGACACACAGTACAGTGGTTCACTTTCTGAGAAACCGGAGGGTCTACATTTACACTGCCTCTGTGAGAACAGCAAGTCAGTCTGGTTGGAAGATACAATTCTGGTTAGTCAATGTTAGACCTGTGTGAACTGTATCATTAGGAAGGGAAAGATGGAATGGCAAGAACTTTTCCCTCTTTTTACAGAGAACTAAGACTGAAAAGCAATACAGTGGTGATAAGCATTATCTTCCCAATACCACCTTCACTTCCTGCCACTTCACTGTAAGTTACCTGCTTTGCCTGCCATCATCTTCCCAGCTTCATCTCAGTAATGGCTCTGGTTACCACCAGGCCAGCATGGCTGATAAACTAACCCACACTGTGCTGGCTCAGAAGATACCACGCATCACCACCACGTAGTATGACAACACGTAAACCAAAGATGCTCAGTGGAAATCGATGACTCTAACCACTGCAGTTTGCACTTGTAAGGTGTAAGAAGCAGCATTTTAAAAGCAGTGGTACTGACACAACTATCTGGGTCAGAGGTGGTGGATCAACCATCCTAATTGGGTAATGGAACTAGAATATCGACATAATTGATGGGGAAGAAACCTGACTGGCCATGAAGCATCCCCTCATACCAGTTTTCATCAATTTGGTTAGTGAGGGTAATGATATCACCCTCTTTAAATCCCAGCTCGCCTTCATTTTCTGGCTCAAAGTCATACAGAGCTCGGCAGCATGGCTGATCCATGTGAACACCTATGGAGAAGAAATATAAAGAAGAAACAATGTGCTTAAAAATCTCATCAGTTACAGTACCCTTTTTACCATTGTACCTACTACATTTTGGTGTTTCTGGTATCACTGATATGCTGATGACAGTTCTTTGATAACATCTAAATTTGGACTGCTAAACTTAATTAGAAGACACCTATCAGCTTTTGGCAGCCTTCGGTTTTTGTATGTGACTGCTAGTAAATGTCCGAGAATCCTTAAAGAACCAAGCTACAGTCAAGCTCACACCTAAAAGCATGGCTATGATCAGTTTGGAATCTAATTTTTATCTGTTTACAAAACACAAAAAATGAAGTAAAAGCCCTAATATTTCCAGCTTTACTGGCACAGAGATGCTTTGCCTATTTACCTCAGTTAAGTAGTGTAAGGGGTAGCTTGAAACAACAGTGAAGATACAACTGTGTCTTTGTCCTTTATTTGGAAACTTCACTGGTACAGCTATACTGTAAACCACTGTATATGCTCCTAATCCTCTGAATTTTAATATGAAGTCTCCAAAGACCTTTTCTCCCCATTCCCACAAAACACTAGATTTCAGGGCCACCAGGATAGATTGAGAACAAGTTTGAAATTGAAAGCTTTCTAATATGCTAGTTCATGAACATCTGACCATAAACCCTTTAGAATGGCTAACGGATATTATTATAAGTCATTAGTTAGATTAGATTTTCATACGTTATATGAAATTAATAAATATTCCTCCCATCCCCCATATTGCCCCCCCCAAAGTCTCTATAGCTTCAAACCTACCAAAAGCAAAATTGTTACTCGTCCAAATATTTAGGATTTAGCAGCACTAAGTTCTAAGGAATCTTATCCCTACCTGACTTTCCATAGCAAAAGTTCATGCACTCCCAGTGGTCAGAATGAATCGATACATGCCACTCCACCATAATGGCACTTCTAAGAATACATATTTCAGCTTTTTCATGTATACTGGCTTCAGGATGTAAGTTTCAGATTCAAACTTTTTGCATATTCATTTCAACCACTCACTATAGCTAGAAGGCCCATGCTTGAGCTATTTTAGGACAAAATTATTCCATTTCTATAGGCTTCAATAGAGCAAGTTTTTCAAATACCAGATTTAATTTATTAAATTCTGTAGTGAAACTTTCTTTAATTTCTTTACATATCACTCACAGTGTATTTTGCTTTATTTGTCACAAAGGCTATTTTGCTGGCATCAACAAGCCTTACAACACGTGTTTGGTATCCTCATTGCTACCAGCTCAAATTTAGAAGACTTAGCAAATAAACTGTAATGACCATAGAAGATCAGAGCTTTGAATGAACCAACCCAAACATACATTAAAGAATTTTCAAAGAAGGTGTTTCTCTGAAACCGATAAACTCTTCAAAAGAAAGAACCCCTATTGAAGAAAATGCTGAATACTGCTCTCTGAAGAGGAAAACATGAATGCTGAAGAGACACAGGAACATCAGTCTGCACTGCCTTAGCACAGACAAGTGTTCATGATACTACAAAAAAGAAGTGAAGAAGAAAATTACAGGTGGCATGAGAAGAGCTTTAGCATGCAAGACTCAAGCCACGCTCATGCACAAGGAATCTCCATTGTATCCCCCTCCTCACTAGCATAGTGAGATTACTAGAGTTTGCAAGATTATGCAAGACAATTTCCGGTTACAGGTGCCAAATGGAGATGCTGTTGCTGCCTACACCTGGGAGAACATCAAACATTCACATCAGGATGTGATGGGAAGGAAGGAAATCCTGATTAAAGACCTAGTGAAAAAAATCCAGTCTTGCAAGGTGGAGTGTGCTAGCAATTGTCACTGAGGTAAACTGGAATAATTGAGGTCAGGGTCTGGACAGAGGACAGCCCTCACCATAACATGGGATAACAGACCATTACTGTGAGAAAGAAATAATAAGGCTTTCTTAGTATGTGCTGATATGAAATAAATACTTCTTTAAGATAATAATTACGCACAGTCATATAAATGCTTAATCTTGCTTGTGCCACTCCCAAATGGACAAAGAAAATAACTCAGATGGCTTTATTTTTCTTCTTACTGATTTTTACTTTCAGGCTCTTTGTGTTGTAATACCTGGTTTTAAAAAGCAGAATAAGGTTATGGAGGTTTTGGGGAGGTTCAGGGTTCTGCATTTTCATGGAAAACTTCCAGTTGTTCTTTAGATTTTCTAAATGCCTATTTTGTAAAGATCTATATTTCAAGGTGAATTTAGTACAGCAGCATCTCTTTGAGCTTCTAAGACTACGGAAATTTTTGACCCAAAGACATTTAAAGCAGTGGATGATCCATCCCTGTTCTCCTGCCCGGGGATGTGAACACTTTACAAAGAAACAACAAGTTCAAACAGCTCTCTCCTATACTATCCTCATTCTCATTTTCCCTCACTATGGAAGAGCAAATCTCTAGAAGAAAGCATGGAACTTCTGCATTGTAGCAAAACTTCAGACAGAATTGGCTTTTATTCTCTCATTGCTACTGCTATTACCTGACGGTTTGGGTGTGGTGGCATGGGATATTCCTCCATTGTGCTGAGTATTGTCACCAGTTGTGAAATCCAGGCTCATACGGGGTTTGGGCTGGTATTCTCTCCTGGGCTGAGATGATGCCTCTTTTATTCTGCCAAAACATGAAGTTAAATGTCAAGAGTTAGTTTCTTGTTAACAGATGAGATGCACCAAACACCTGTATTTCCATGGGTGAAGCTCCCATCCAGCACTCATCCAGACTAAACAAGTTCTGGCATTTGGAGTAATTTTTTGTTTACAACGTTATTTTAAATTACCAAAACCACCTGATGTGACTATGCCATGAGGTTGTTAATTTTTCTTTTCCTCTAGGAACCTAGCATTTTGTCTGGCTTCCTTTTGTCTAACAATAACAAAGAGCTTCTAAGGGAGAAAAACTTGTTATGTGATTAGCAATGCTTACAGAAGGGCTGTACAAACATCCCTGCCCCCATTTTTAGCATGATTTTTGCTTCTATCCCTGGCAAGCCTTAACTATTCAGTTGGTCAATGCCAACTCTTGTCATTTTGTGAGGAGACTGTGTGGGAATGTACTGACTTCAGTTGCAGATTTAGTTAATTTGTGATTTGGAATACTTGTTTGACAAAGGCACACAACTCCAGTTTTCCTGACTCTCAAGATAAAAATATTATGCATCATTCATTTCAACTTATTCTTCTAATTGAGAAATCTAGAATTTCTAGGAAAGGGTACATTTTCAGATTCTGGGGTAAAATCCAGGGAAGGGATGATGACAGAATCAGAGTAGCTTATGCAGAACAACTGCCACATCTATTTCTAATACTGCATATGGATGAATACTTGAGTCAAGGCCTCCATATTTAAAGGACAAGTTAATTTCTCTAACCTTCTCTAGATCTGCCCCAGACTTGATGTTGGTAGCACATTTTGATTTATCTATTGAAAACATCTGCTTCTAACTTAACCAGTTTTGGTCCTGATAACAAGGGTTTCCTGACCATCCAAAATATTATCAATATTAGTCAGTCCCCAGAGACTGCTTTTCTTCTTCATAAACAAAAACATAAGCATATTAAAAACATAAATTAATGAAGTTGTCAAAATAAACTTAAATAAAAAGGCTTTGCTGTGTTTCATTCGTTAAAAGAAGTTACTTTTTCAAAACAGTAAAGTTTTGAAGAAAGAAATACTTAAACAAGTTCTATTACACTTAATACTTCCATGAAACAAACACCATTTTTTACAGATTATGAGCTAGAAGGCAAAAGTTCTAGTGACTTGTTAAAAATTACCCAAAAGCTCAGCATGAGCCATGTTTCTTAAGAAAAGAA